GGGGGCGAGCCTCTCTTCCAGGCCTGCTCCCCCAGCCTTCGGTCATCTTCTCATACCCCCCTTTGCACTTCCTGTCTTCTCCACTCTCCTGATCATCCATCCATCATGGGTTGGTCCCTCCGTCCGTCCATCCATCATCCATCCATCCATCCATCCATCCATCCATCCATCCATCCATCCATCCCTCTCTCTCGATTATATGGATTGATCAGAAGGTCCCCTGGATCTGGAGCCCTGAACCAGGCCCATGGGGAGACACAGTGAGACCCCCCACAGTCACCCATGTGCTTGGAACCGAAGTAAACAAGTGCTTGCACCTGCCAGTCACTCCTGCTTTCCTGGTGCGGTTCAGGCCTCCTCCGAGCTTTCTGTGCCTCTGTAGATCCGTCTTATAGTGCAGAAGCCCAAGGCTCAGAAAGGTGAGGTCCCACCGCTCCTCAGTGTCAGACATCGGAGCTCAGGTGTGTGTGACTTCAGGCATCACCCTCTACCTCGGAGCGCCATCCCGGTGTCCCAGAGCTGCTGAGAGATCTGGGCGGGCCAGGCGTAACCTTGATGGCAGGGGTGGTTAGTGCTCTGTCCTTCCAAGTTACAGTGTACTCCTAGCCTTGTGAGTGACTTAGTGATGGGAACAGCATTGTGTGGGAGTCCTGAGTTCTAGTTCCAGCTCTGTACCAAACTTTCTGTGTGATGTTTGTTTTTCTGAGCCTCAGTTTTTACATCTGCAGAATGGAGCCCCAAGCCCCTATTTCTTCCAGCTCAGAGAGTTTGAACAGAGAAGAGATGGGACGTAGGAATGTTTTATAAACTGTAGAGTGTTATATTTAGATGAATGGCTGCCACTGTTACTGTTATTGATTCTCCCAAGAGTTGTAAGCCTCTAGTGCTCAGAGAGGTAGTGTGGCTTTTCCAAAGTCACACAGCTGGTCAGACAGACCCAGGGAGACAAGAAGAGAAGCATGGATTCTAACTTGGGTTCTGCCTCTGTCTGCTCGGGAGACTCTAGTCAAGCACCTTCCCTCTCTGAGCTTCGGTTTCCTCATTTGTACAATATGTGTCAGGAAGAGGGGATGGGAAGGGGGTGCATTTAAGGGCCCTGCTGGTCCAGACATCTAGGGCTCTAGGCCCCAGGTGACCCCTACCACCTGCAGTCCCCTCCTCACCTCCCACATGGGTGGCTGTGCTGGGGGGGGCATGGGGTGTTCCAGTGGGGAGATAGCAGGGAGGAGCTCCTGGGGGACTGCGCCCAGCTCTCCCAGCCCTGCCCCCTCCATGGGCCAGCCCCAGGCTGTCAGGATGTTTGTTGCTGGGGCGGTCCTGGCTGGTTTGTAGTCATTTACCCAGAAGTTTACAGTCAACTCGCCTCTGTCAGTGCAATGCCCTGAGCACAGGTCACCGGGAAAAGAGGTTCTTGGGGCCCAAGCCACTCACATCACCCCCTCTATTCATCCTCCCCCTCCTCCTCCTCCCAGTGATGTGGCTGGACGCTGGGGACAGCTGGGTGCAGGGTAGGGTCCTTGCTGCCCTCTCCCCCTTTCCCAGAGGCGGCCCTGGGTGGTGGGCAGTGCCGGGGTGGCAGCGGGAGATGAGGGAGGGAATATTGCCGGGTATTAATGAGTAACTGTTGATAGGTTCACGTGCCCCTGTGCGGCGGAGGCAGCGGTGTGGGGTGGAAACATGCTTTCGTGTCCAGATTCAAATCCCTCCTCCCTCCTGCTCCACTTCTGTGACCTTGTCAGAGGGAGTCTCCCGCCTCCGGAGCCAAGTGGGAGGAACCAGTTGGGGTCTTGTACGTGGGGGACCCAGCACCACACCGGACACAGAGCTGGTTCCATGCATTGTTCTGAGGGTTGGCGTTCGTGGCCTGGGGCGGCCTCTGCGTCTGTGCAGGTGTGGGTCTGGGGGTGTTAGATCCAGCACATGAAGGGAGGGAGCGGCGTGTGTTATAAACCAGGAGGCACGCGAGAGGGGGAGGCCTGTCCCCAACACCGGCTCCTTGGGTCCTGGGCTCTCAAAACCCTCAGCAAATGCTGGTGCCCACCCTCCCCTCAGAATCCCCCCCTTGCCTCTCGGTGTCTGATAAATGGGAATTTCCTAGATTGAAAGAAATATAAATATAAAGGACTGGAATCAGCCAATTAAGTTATGGGAGTGAGAGGTAGCCAATTCCAACATGAATTAAGCTGTCCCTGTCTTTGAGGGGCTGGGGGGCTTGCAGGGAAGACAATTTTCTGCCTGATGGGGAGGGTGTAGGCTTCACGGAGAAGACGAGCTGGGCTTTGTGGGCTAAGTAGAAGTTCACCAGGCAGAGAAGATGGGAAAGACATTCCAGCCAGAAGGAACAGCATGATCAAAGACGCGAGGTGAAAGAGCAAGGCAGGTGGGCATCATGGTCACAGGGGGTGGGGGTGGGGGTGGAGATGGAGGAGGGTGAGGAGGAGGGAATTGGGCTCAGCTCCGCAGGGCCTGAGATGCTGTGCCAAGGAGCATGGACCGTGCCCTTTTGTTGATGGGACAAGAGAGGGACATGATCAGCTTTGTAGTTCAAAAGAGTTATCAGGCTGGCATGGGGAGGAGGAAGGCCCGGGGGCAGCAGACCAGTGTGGGAGGCTCCTTCTCTGGTGCAGGTGAGAGGTGATGGTCTCCTGGACTAAGGCAGAATTTAAACCCAAGACTGTAGAAACTGAGAAGACATTTCTAGCTCATCAAACGTGCACTACCTGCTGTGGCTGGGCATGGCACTGGCACGTCTGTCTAGCTTACTCACTGAACTGAGGTCGATTTGGTCAGATGTGGTGGTCAGCTGGACCTCGGGCTTGAGACAGGAGGAAAAATTGGGGAAAGTCTAGTAGGTGGGGCAGTGAGGGTGCTGCACCTGTTAGCGGAGGTGGGCCAGGGGAGCTGAGAGAAGGGGTGGGATTAGCAGGAAAAGCAGTGTCTCTCCCTGTCCAGCTTCTGCCTCTGCCCACGGGTCCCCCATTCCCCACTCCTTCCTGTGCTGTAGCCACAGGCTGGAATAAAGTGCTCGGCTGGAGCCCAGGACAAGCCCCTGTCTGGTGGTTGATGGATCTGTCCTCTCCATGGGCCTCCCTCCTTTCATCTGCTCCCTCCTTTGGGGGGCTGCTGAATGCTCTGCCTAAACACAGATCTGTGGGCACTCTCCACCTGAGAGCCCACCAGGGCTCTCGCTGCTTCTGGATAAAGACTGAACTCCTTAGTCTAATGCCCTGGGGTCTTCGTGGTCTGATCTCCCCTCCCTAGCTTCAGCTCTGTCTGTCCTCTTTCTTAGAAGGACTCATATTCTAAGGTGCTCCAGTCTTTCCTTCTTCTCCAGGCTTTTCACAATGGCGATGATGATGGTGATGGTTGTGGTAATGATGATGATGATGGTGATGGTGATGGAGGTGATGATGATGATGGTGATGGTGTTGGTTATGATGGTGATGATGAGAAGAAGGAAGATGGTCACTGGGTCATGAAACATTGAGGCAGAGGAAGGGACAACTTCTTCAAAGTACAGAGCCAGCAGGCAAGTGCAGGGTATCCTTAGTGAGTATAGAAGATACCCAGGCCCCTGCCTGATGTCCAGACATTTGGGGGAAGCTTACCCCTCCCAGGAGTTCTAAGAACCCCTCCATCCATCACTGCCATCTCCCCAGCAGGATGGAGCTTTTCCGATTCAGACAAGTGTCTCTTATTCACTGCACTCTATGGGAAGGGAGAAGGGCACTGCTATTTATGAACCTAGTTACAATACAGAAGAGCCTCATCAAATATTTGTTGAACAAGTGTTCAGTTGAGGAGAGCAAGACTCAGAAGGTAACTTCAGCTGCATCCAGTTATTATTTACTGAGCAACTACTATGTGCCAGGTACTGTGCTGGGGATTTCTTATATATTATCTCATGAAATCCTCACAGCAACCCCAGGAGACAGGCTTTGCTAGAATTGTTTTTTAAATTGTGGTGAAATACACAGCATAAAATTTACCATCAAACCCATTTTCAAGTGTTAGTTACATTTGCAATGCTGTGCAACAGATCTCCGGAACTCTTTTCATCCTGCAAAGCTGAAACTCTTTACCCATTGAACAGTAACTCCTCATGCCCCACCTCCAGCCTGTGGCAACCACCATTCTACTTTCGGTCTCTGTGACTTTGACTGTTCTAGATACCTCATATAAGTGGAGCCATTTGTCTTTTTGTGACTGGGTATTTCTTCAGGTTTTATCCATGTTGTAGCTTGCGTCTGAACTTCCTTCCTTTTTAAGGCTGGATAACGTCCCATCGCAGGCATAGGCCACGTTTTGTTTATCGGTTCATGCGCGCAGGGACGCTAGCATTGCTTTCACTCCTGACTAGCTAGGAAGAATGCAGCCAATATCTCTTCAAGGCCAGCCCCATTTTACAGAGGGGAACAGAGAGGCTCTGGGAGGGGAGATGACCTGCCCAGGGGAGGATTTTCACTCAGTGTCCCAGACCCCAAAGACAGGCTCCTTCTGCCTCATTCCACTGCCTTCTTTATGACCCACCTCCCCTCCACCACCCATGCCCACCTCATGGGGCTGCACGTGCAGAGACCTCTTGATCCCTGAAAGTTCAGGGACAGGGACTGGTGGGCACAACCCCAGCCATCTGTCCCCCACCGTAGCCTCTGTGCCAAGAAACACATGACAGTGACCTGCTTTCCACTCATTTGCCAGATAGGGATGAAGTGCCAGGCACATTCTGGGCACTGGATGAAGACTCTGGTCAAAGACAAGATGTGAGCAACTCTAGGGCAGGGATGTTTGTCTCATTCCCTCTCGACTGACCCCTAAGGCCTAAAGAGTGCCTGGCAAGTGCTCAATAAATATTTGTCGGGTAAATGTAGGAGCCCAAGGATCCATCCACCCACTGGTGCTGGCCCTGACCAGGCCCTTTCCTGTCAGAAGGGGAGTCTCTCCCTGGCTGGGCCTCTCTCCCAGGGCATGTGGAGAGGTTAGACCGGTGCTCTGGGGGAGCAGCGACCAAGGACCAAGGGCATGTGCACGCAGCCACAGAGAAGCCGTCTCCCCTTTGCCCTGCAGATTGCCTTCGTCCCCGCTGACTCTGAATTCCAGGGCGTCCTGTCTTCGAAGCCGCCGGGCTTGCTGGAGAATGGACTCACTGCTGAGCTGAAGAGGTAGGTGCTGGGCCTTCTGCGCCTGGTGGTGGTGGGGGGTTAAGGGGAGGAGCACTGTGCCCCTCAGTGAGGCAGTGAGCCGGTCTCCTCTTACAGAGGACACTGAGGGAGTGGGGTGGAGGGTGGACAGTGTCTCCCCCACTTGCTCAAGGCCTTGGCCAGGCCTTCCCACTTACCTAAGAACATCCTGTTAGAAATCATGGACTGTTTTGAACTCCTAGTTCTGTGAGGCAAGCATTATCATTCCCATTTTACAGACGAGGAAACTGAGGCTCAGGGACTTTATCCTGTCTTACAGTGATCTAGTGCCAGACCAAAAATCAAAGTCAGGTTTGACCCGAAATCCCAAAGAGCTGTGACTCCTACTGTTTTAGCAAACGAGAGGCATGAGGATGGTGGAGGCACGGCCGGGGGCTCTGCCACTTACTGGTGTGTGGCTTTGGGAAAGTGATGTACCTCTCTTTGCCCGCTTTGTAAAATGGGGATACTAACGGTCCCTTCCTCCTGGGGGTTCAGGGAGGATTCAGTGAGATAATAATATAAGCAAAGTGCATAGTAGGCCCTACGTAAGTGTTGTTGTCATTAGTAAGAAGAGCTCCTTTACACAGAGTCTGAATCAGACATTTGCACCCATTGCCTCCTTCAGTCCTCATAGAAGCCCTATGAATGGGGGG